GGTTGTTGCTCAAACTTAGCAGCTATTGACTCTTCTAGAAGGTAGGGAAGAGGCACAGAAGAGGCTCCCTGATCCCATTGAACCAAACAATAAGAAAAATAGAGATGTGACAAGAGAAGGAGTGAGCACAGTAATTCAGTTCCTCATCTCCCATCCCATGGAGCATAAGCACCGTTCTGGTGCTCGATGGACGAGACTCACAGAGAGGCAGAAAGAAAAATACGCAGCTGAAGCACCTGCCTTCCTCTCCTGCTGGCTCCATGTCTTCTCTTCACAGAGCTGGGCACAACGTGAGGAGACACGGCACCAACCGCTCGATTTTGGGCTCTGCGATCTGCTGTTAATGAAGAATATTTTCAGGACATTTGTATCAGAAGAGTAGCATTGCACCCTACTAATACGAGTTACACCTCTGGCTATCCGAGTTCAGAACCCAAACCCAAACCAACACAACGTTGTTTCCCACCTGGGTCCATGAGCTCAGCATTTTGTCAGCAGTAGTGGACCCCAGGCTGCACCAAGACTAAGGTTAGCCAGTGCCCACGCATCATCTGCAAGCCATCAGCTCTCGCGGCCGCAGCCGCACGAGTATCAAAGGGGTGCTGACATCTTGCGACCAGGATCCATCTCTTTTGGTACCGTTACTCCCCAAAACAAAAGACGGTCACTCGCATATTTGATGGAGGAAAACTCCGAAGGTCTTCTGTTTCTTTTTGATACTGCAGTCAAAAAGTAATATGGATTTTGTTACATTCAACATCTGGTCCAAAAATGTGCATTTCCACTAAGGAAAACACAAACCAGAAAAGGCAGGCCAAAACAAACACACACAAAATGTTACTATTGTTTTTACATATTTTATCCAGATAGGATTTTTAATATGTACAGAAACTGTATCTGATGTTAAGCAGTTGGGTCTAGATATGGAACTCGAAAAAACGAATTTCTTTTCATGCCTATCATTTTGTTTTATTTCGGTCTTCGCAAGTCTTTTTCTACTCAACTGGCAGCGGACAGCCTTCAAATGGCATTTTCGGTGGATGATTTATATAGGTATAAAAATATGCGGGATAAGAAATCTTTAACATTATATTTCACAATTCATTTAACAAAGTAGCAGTAGTTAGAAAATTTTACTTGGCAAGATCGCGCTGGGGTGGGAGTGGGCCTGTGTGTGGAAAAGGGACCTAAGGAATGTTCCTACGATTAGTCTGAGGCAGCACAGTCCAACGATGGGAATTTGCTCTGGGAGGTAGATCTTGCTGTAAAACGCTTTAGATTAGATACGAGGCACTGACATATGACAAATGAAACTGCTGCAAGAGCGGGCCATACGAGCTAATGATTTTCAATCTTTAATCAGGCACCTAGCTTGGCACAGCGCATTAGATTTGAGCAAATAAGGCTCAGGGTCAAAGCTCTGATGGGAATTCTGCTGAGGAAAACTGAGCTGGAGGGACGTTTAGGAAGAAAAAAACGTTAAGTTGCTCTTCAGCCACAGCACCGAGGGAACGAGGTGAAGTCCTGCCACCTTTGCCAGGTCCAGTGACACCTCGCTGGCATGTGGGAAGCTGCTCAAGATACGACGCAGGCGGACATAGCTCTGGGACAGCCAGAGTGTGCGGGCTTGTCGGCCAAGAGGAACGCTCTGCAGCATCTGGGTGGAAAGAGGGGGAAAAAAAAAAAAAAAAAAAAAAAAAAAAAAAAAAAAAAAAAAAAAAAAAAAGTATTGCTTAGAATCTGCTTAGCTTGAGCCTTGTATTCTCTGACCTCCAAGTTTTTGGGCACAGTTCTATACCCACAGCTGACTGTGGGCACGCAAATTATAGCATTCAGGAATTTAACTACCTGATGATTGGGCCTGCGCTCAGTGTTGTAACCCCAAGCATTCCACATTCATGAGAGAAGCCTCCAAAAAAATAATAATAAAAAAAAAAAAACCAACCACCCAAACCTGCGAGATTGGCTTCAGGATCATGAATTAATACTTTTTTGAAACTTCTGCTTTTTTGAGCCTGTGTGGCTTGCATTTGCAAGTTCTTCCACCACCATAAACAGTGGCGACTTCTGAAAAAAATACAGCAGTGAAATCAGATTTCTGTACAGCAAAATGACTCATGAAACTGGAGCTTCAGAAAGACAACAACAACAACAAAAAAAAAAGAAACCAAGACTTAGGATAAAGCTGCTGGAGACTGTACTGCAGAGAAGTGCCAGGCAGTGCTGTAAACAAATGGCAGCATCTCAACCAAATACACACACACATCCATATATATGATTATGCATAGATATACAAAGATATCACCTAGGACACCAGAATGGGTGATCTCTTTGTCTTTCAGGAAAAATTACAAATTCTGTTGTATCAGGGAAGCACAAGGAGCCTCACCAAGCTTCACCTCCTCCCGCTCTCTGAACAAGTTACCGACTTGGCCTTTTCAACCAAAAACCAGACATGAGAAACACATGCAAAACATGACAAAACTCTTCCCCAAGATTTACTACCTGGGGAGAAGAGGAGCGTGAGTCAGGTGTGGCGGATCCGTCTCATTAGTAATTCTTTGCTGGAAGCCCTTGGCTCCTGGTGCTCCTTGGTGCAGGTGTAGAGCAGGTTGCCTCCATCCACATTTTGCAGTTCTTGTGGCTGCAATGCAGCCACTGGCTTCTTGACCGGCGGTTGAGAAAGCGGTAGAAACAAGCTAGTTTCAAAATAATTTTAAAAAAAAAGGTATTTCAGTAATATCAAGCAAAAACTTTTATACGTATCTACACGCACACTTAAATACCAATAGACTCTTTGAACCCAAATTTGTGGAACAGGTTTGGAATGTTGTTTGGGGGGGGGGGGGG